TACTGTTTTCCATAGTGGCTGCACCAAACTGCATTCCCACCAGCAGTGTAGGAGGGTTCCCCTTTCTCCACAGCCTCTCCAGCATTTGTCATTTTTGGATTTTTGAATGACGGCCATTCTGACTGGTGTGAGGTGATACCTCATTGTAGTTTTGATTTGCATTTCTCTGATAATTAGTGATATTGAGCATTTTTTCATGTACTTTTTGACCATTTGTATGTCTTCCTTGGAGAATTGCTTGTTTAGGTCTTCTGCCCATTTTTGGATTGGGTTGTTTATTTTTTTCTTATTGAGTCGTATGAGCTGCTTATATATTCTGGAGATCAAGCCTTTGTTGGTTTCACTTGCAAAAATTTTCTCCCATTCCGTAGGTCTTCTTCTTGTTTTACTTCTGGTTTCCTTTGCTGTGCAGAAGCTTGTAAGTTTCATTAGGTCCCATTTGTTTATTCTTGCTTTCATTTCTTGTAGGAGAAAATTTTTGCAAATGTATGTCAGATAATGTTTTGCCTATGTTTTCTTCTAGGAGTTTTATTGTATCTTGTCTTATGTTTAAGTCTTTAATCCATTTTGAGTTGATTTTTGTATATGGTGTAAGGGAGTGTTCTAGCTTCATTGTTTTACATGCTGCTGTCCTGTTTTATTCTCTTTATCTGTTGCTGGATTTGATTTGATAATGTTCTGTAGTTTTTCCATCTATGTCCATAGAGACATTGACTTGCATGTTTCATCTTTGTAATGTCTGTCAGGTTTTTGTATTGGGATTCTGCCTTCCTCCTAGAGCAAGCTAGGTTTCTTATTTCTTTATTCACTGAAAGAGTTTGTGTAAGATTGTTAACATTCTTCCTTAAGTGTATATTTTGAAGAATTCACAAATGATGTCATCTGGGCCTAGGTTTTCATTTGTTTGCTTTTTTCTTTTTTCCTTTTTTGTATTTTTTTGGTGGGGTGGGTAGGGAGTGAGAAGAGCATCTTGAAATCTTGGTATTTATTTTCTCATTGTATTTTTTTTCCTTAGGATGCTTCCAGTTCAGAAGAAGGAGATTTTCCATGAGATCCTTTTGAATCACTTTAAGGAAAATAAGGTGGAGATAACAAGTACAATAACAAAGCCATTTCCCTTCCTTGAGAGCCTCAGAGATAGCTCCTTCATCACTGAAAAAATCTATAGTGTGAGTAAAGTTTATTATATTTCCCCATGGTAACCCATCCCCATGCTGATTTGTATTTGACATCCTAAATTCAAAATTTAATGTATCACTAACTGGCTGAGAGTCCTTTTATGCTTTTCTTGGGGAGACCCTTTTAAATTAGTTAATCACCCTGTAAGCTCAAGGGTGACAGAGAAAGCACATATCACTTCTATTCCAATCAAAGCCCTTCTCTTCTGTGACACATGTTGGAGTGGGGATGGGTGGTAATGGTGATATGGCTGGATTGCAACATATGCTTTGCAAGATGTATAGCAATTTATACAACATAACAAAATTAAACTAAATTAAAATAATAAAATTGGGGCAGTATTTCATTATAATACCCATTTATGGTAAATGAAATCCCCAGGGAATTTGTGCTAGTATAAATCAAATTTCTGCCTTTTTTTTGTCTCCTCCAGAGTGTTTAAACTTTGTTAGGTGGTTCTGGAGTCTTGGAATTCCAGTAAATTAGATCAGTGGACCCTCCTGGGGAAACAGAGAAGGAAACCATCTCTGCACTGCGTGATTGTGCAGGTCCCTGTGTGCTCCTCGTGGCAGGGGCAGGACCATCTCCCTACATCCTGGAGCCCTTTCAGGGCTTCTCACACCTGGAGGGTAGGCAGTGGTTGCTGGGAAATCCACAGAATTGCTATAAGCTTCATTCTTGAAACAGCCTAGGCAGGATGAAAATTCAAAAAGTCAAGAGGAAGGGTTATTTTAAGCAGCTGATCAAGTATTTAAGAAGTTCTAAAATATTGCATGAAAAATACTAGTCTATCTACATTGAGCAAGTAGAATTAGTGCTCTGTGCAGTTCCTTTCTAGATGTCTCTTTAACTCTGAAACTATTATTTTATATTTTTTCCATTGCACCTTTTAAAAGGATTCTCAAGAAGCCTGTAGAAACTTGGTTCCTGTAGGGAAAGTGATATATCATATTCTCTGTCACCTTGAGAAGACGTTTGATAAATCACTTCTACGAGCCCTGTTCAGCAGGGTCCATCTGAAGGAGTATCCTGACTTAATTCCAATTCATAGAAGCTTTGAAAATGGTAATCAATTCTCTCTTTTCCCTTCTGGGGTCTAGGTCATTCATTTCATTCATTCATTCACTAAGTCACTCATTTAGCAGCTATTCATGAGATGCTCCCCCATCCTAGGCCCCGTGCTAAGCAGTGTGATGTAAGTAACTGTGAGCGGTGACATTCTTCAGAGGCAACCAGGCTGTCTTTAATTTCCACAGAAAACTTTATCAAAGGCAAAAAATTTAACTCTCCAAATAAAGAATGAAGAAGTCACAATAGCCCATCAGCCCAGAAGGAGGGCCAGCATGTGGAAAGGTGTGGGCGTTAGGAAGGGATTCAAGCAAAGCTGAGCTGATTCTGCATATGATGGTTAGAGGCAGACTGTGCAGTTTCTGACATCCTAAACTGAGGAACTGGAGTATAATTTTTATAGTAACAGGGAAGTAACACCAGTTTCTTAAGCAAGGGGAAAAAAAATCAAAAGAAGCTAATATAAAGTATGGAGTTTTTTTTTCAGTCATTTTATATTGGTTACTTAAGAAAAAATTGAAGTATAGTTGATTTACAATGTGTTAGTTCCTGGTGTACAGCATTTTGATTCAGTTGTACACACACATATGTTTATTTTCATATTCTTTATCATTAAAGGTTATTACAAGATACTGAAAATAGTTCTCTGTGCTGAACAGTAAGACCTTGTTGTTTTTCTGTTTTATGTATAGTAGTTAGTATCTGCAGATCCCAAACAAGTATGGAGTGTATTGATTTGTGAAAATAGTAAATTGATTAAAATTAGAAGAATCTAATTTCTATATTGATACGTGAGTTAGAGACAGGAATAGAGTAAATCAAAAATCAAACATCTGGGCACACATTTTAAGTCACCAATTTTTAAAATATTTATTGATATATAATTCACATACATTGTCAATATATTTGTACCAGGATGTCCCCAGGTCATAGGAGCAGAGGGAATAGCAGTTACCTTTACTGTCCACATCCCAGGGGCTCTGGTCCTCTTCACCGATTGCAGGAACCCCCCCCTCCCTGGGCCCAGGGTCCACAGCACAAGTGTTAGTTTCCGGGGCTCCTGGTTCTGGTGCTCCTGTGACTCCCACCTACATTTGCTGTCACCCACCTGCCCCTGGGAGAGGTCTCTGCCACCACCCCCGGGACCCCGCTGTCCATGGGAGCTGTGGGTCAGTGACTAAAGCCAAGAGGCTGGGGACTGTGGTCCATGGCATGGCATCACTCCACTTGCTCAGTCCCCACCTTCATCCCATTCACAGAAGCCCCCAACCCCTTGCTGGAACACCTGCACACAGGCTTCCTTCTCTGAGCTTTGGGCCCTTTGTTCTCTTCATCTCTTCCACCTGATTTTTCTGGGATTTGAAGCTGTGCCTTGGGGAAGACAAAGCCCCTGCGGTCCAACAGTCCTGTCCATTCTTGCTCCTGGCAGGCATTGTCCTAGGAGATGCTTCTGCCATCAGTCCTGGGACAGCCTGGGCTCCGTTGCCTCCCATGGTGTCTCTTCTCTCAACTTTTGGCAGGGACTCAGCCCTTAGGCTTCCTGGTTTATTTTCTTCCTCTTACATTTGCTAGGTCATCTATAAGCAGGCGCCCTGGGCTGGTCTTCTGACCTTTCCTTGTTGGCAGCCTCCAGGTTTCCTGGTATGGGGGTCATGGGGACGTCCTGTAGTGCTGTAATCCCACTCCCTGCCTGCAGCTTCAGAATGTTCTTCCTGTGCTGATGGGGTCTGGGTCACCCGTGGGAGGTGTCTAGCTCCTTCCCTGCCTTCTGGTTGTCTCTTTTGAAAGTGCTCATCCTCCCTGACCCAGTTCAGCCCAACTTTCCTCTCATCTAGTCCCGTCTTTAAAGTTCTTGGGCTTTCTCTTACACTCATGGATCTCTTTAGGATCCTAGCCCTTCTGCAGAGAAAATCCCTGTTTCTTCCCTAAGGTTTGTACACTTCACAGAGACATTCCATTATAGAATTTATACTGAGATAAGCTTTCACTCCTCTCTGATCATCTTGTTGAGTAATGAATTACTGTTTATGACCTTTCCTCTGCTCCACCATCCTTAAAAATCAGGAGGCTCATCACCTCTTTTTCAGTGGGTTTTTTTTTTCTTTGCTGTCCCAGGGAAAGGCACAAGCAATACCAAGTCAGGAGCCACTGAGATTTGGAGTGATCCAGGGGCCAGAAGTCCCCCACTGCAGGACATGGGTTTGTGGGTGGTCCAGATGTGTAATTATGAAGTGATGTCCCTGAGCACTTACTTGCTTACAGACTCTAATGAATTTTTCCCTCTGTTCAGTGATCCAAGACACATATTTTTCACAGGAAAGTGATAGAGAGACATTGAAATTGCCCAGCTCTGAACAAGGTAATTATGATGGGATACAAACTTATTTTTTTGGTTACTAAGAGAAAAAGGAGACAAAGGAACTGAGCTCTAGAAGGGAAACCATGATTCTGGAAGAAGAAAATCTGAAGATCAAGGGCCAGGTAGTTAAGTGTCACTTTGTATCAATTCCAAAATGACCCAATTCCATGTAGAACCCAACATGTTAGCAAGAGATGGCAATGAGAGACTTTCTGCCCAATAACCTAGAAAGTGGAATAAGAATGTAAATGTGAATTATAAGTTTCCATAGGAGACCTTCAGCATAAATGTGTGAAGGGCTAAGGACTATGGGCCCAAGGTCAACATCAAGAGAGACCATTGATGATGGCAAAAGAAGGGACTGATTTAAATGTGAGGGATGTTGTTGAAGAGTGGATTATTCAAGGAGAAAGGAAATCACAGAGAAGAGAGGAAGTGGAGGAGACATGGAGAAGAGGATGTGGGTATTTGAGAAGGAGAGGAAGAAGGAGGGCAAATGAGGGACAGGGAGAAAGAGACAAAGGACATAATAAAAAACAACCACATTATCTACAGCTCCCTTGAATGAACGTTTATTCTGGCAGCTGTGGATTTAGGCTCATGGCTGCCATTGGAGGGTATTATCACTTATATGCCCATTTTGCAGATAAGAAAACAGCTCTAGAGAGATCATGTAATTAGTTGGCCTGGGGTCAAATGGATCCAGGCATTCTGAACGCACTGCCTGCATTCTTTCTTTTAAATGGAAGTAAAATTCACATAGCATAAAGATAACTATTTTAAGTGTACAATTTAGTCACATTTAGCACATTCACAGTGTTATGCAACTATCACCTCTATCTGGTTCCAAAACATCTTGATCTCCTGAAAAGGAAACCTTATATCTATTAAGCTGTCACTTCCCATTCCCTTCTTTCCACTGTCAGGAGACACTGATATGACTATTTTTAGTGCATCTTCTAGTTTCTGTGGGTTGAGTGGAGAAAATCTCAGACAAAGAGAATGTGATTGGAGCCTGACATATAGGTGGGGACATGTAGAGGAAGAGATCTGGGAAGGGAAATAGAGATACAAGGACTGAGTTGGAGAGCATCGCTGGAGGGAAGAAAGAGACAGAAACATGAAGCGACTGGAGAAGCCAGTGGAGACCCAGATGCAGGTATGTCTTCCTAGGATAGAAGCACCAATACCTAGAGATTGGATCCTGGTAAAAAATTGAGAAGCAGAGCGGAAGAGAATGAGGTCTAACAAGATGGAAAGAGGCAGAGCAGAGCTTGATTGGTTTTCCTTGGGGTTCTGGGAGCAGGTGTGTTTCTTCACAAGGAAGTTTTCATCCTCAGAGCTCACTATGACCACACCTTAGTCTATTTCCTGGCCCTTGACTCTGGTCTCTCCTTTCTTTTTTTCTTTTCAGTGCCCACTGAACCCAAAGCTCTTGGAATGAAAAAGAGAGATCAGGAGAGTTTCACAGCCTTTCGCTAAATGGTAGACAAGGTAATTATGATTAAATCCCATATTTTAAACTACCGGTTACCTGATTAGGTTACTAGGTGGAGGGAGGAAAGTCTGTACATGGGAACCCAGCCTCTGACTGCTTTTTACGGCTTGAGGGAGGCAAGGAGGGTGAGGCCTTGGGTATAGATTTTAAAGAGACATTCACTGCGTGAACCTGAGAGTAAGTGTCTCTTCAATTTGATGACTTAGGCCTCTTGCTTGCCTCATCCTAGCCCTGCCTTGGAGGCAAGGATGAACTCAATGGAGGAAGATGCCCTGAGTGGAGAACATAAGAACAAGTTTAGAAAAAACCCCAATAATGAGTTGTAAGAGCGGGCCCAGCTTTACCTAAATAGATGAGATCCAGACTTCTCCAGGGTGGTGGAGGCTTGGCAGGGAGATAATTTTTATCCTACTTGCCAAAAATTGACACAGGAATAGGCAAATAATGTGTGTGACTGTCAGATTGGCAAGTGAGAGAGATCAGTGTAGACGACCTTTAGAAGGGAGGAGGTAGGGGCAGGAGGCTCTAGAGATACGGTCAAAGCCACAAGAAGAGATCTTTAGTAATGGAGGGGTGCAACCTTTGAGATAAGGGTGACAGCAATTGGAAGAGAAGAGGCAGACAGAGGGTAGAAATACCAAGCAAGAAAAAGTGGAGGTGAGACACAGAAACCATGAAGACAAAGATTATGGTTTTATTGCCTTGTAGACATCACCCAGTTTGGCCTCTAATTTAGGGAACTTGTTTCAGTCAGCATGCCTTTTCTGGCTAACTTTGTAAGCCTATGTTCCTTGAATTCTGAGTTGGTGGTTCACATGCACTGCAATTAATAAGGAAATTTATTCATTTATTCTGAGAATATCAGTGACAACAATTTGAAAACAAATGTTGGAAAAGAGAACCAGGGAGCTTCTAGCTCACCACCAAAAACTGGGTCAAGCAAGGCAAACAAGTCTTGGGTTTTAGGATTCCAGGAGTCTGAATTCAGAACTACTTTTTCCTTTTTCATTCTGAGTACCAAACACATGAAAATGAATTGGTGATACTAAAATTCCGTTCTCTGCATTTCCTTTACTACATGAACAGAGAGACATAAAATCATTATAAATTCATATTTAACAGTATGAGCACTATTGACTGAAAAGAAGTGCTCCTATTTTGATGTGGTAGAAATATGCTCATAAAATGAGATCTCTTTAGTTACCTGTTGTCATGCCTAATTACTTCAGTCTTGAATTCATACAGTAATTTTCACCCATTCTTATCCACTTCCTTATCTTTTATGGAGCACAGAAGGCTAAGTAGTCCTTTCTTGGGTAAATAATATTGTTATCATTTGGTCAAAAACCTGAGAAAGCTCAGAAATCCTGCTGTCTCATAACGTTCAAATAGAAAGGATTCAAATCAACTAGTGGCAAAATCAGCTTTTAGGTTTTGATGGATGTCCTCCAGAGAGTTGTCCTTTTTCAATCAGTTTAAGTTTACCAGGGGTGAACAAGCTTGTGGTCCAGCAGTGAGATTTATTGGCTGGTTACAAGACAGTGGGACACACACAAGAAGACTGACCTATGGGACACTTTGCCAAACCAAGATATAGATACAGTTGTTGTAGGTTTTGGGAGAGTTTAATGAAACTTAAAACTTACTTAAACTCTTTGGGAGTTTAAATAAAATTTACAGGAAGCAGTGGTCTGATAGGTTCAAAGTAAGCCAGAACTCTGTGTAAAGAGGTCAGGATCAGGTCTGGATTGTGAAATGGACTCAGGGTTCTGTTACGAGGAAACTACAAAATTAAGGAAATGTTCACTATGGTATTCAGAAATCCCAATTTGCAGCTGGATTGGAAATCAATAACCTATCTCTTTATCAAAATAACTCAAACCCTCTAACTTTTATTCTTGATGATATCAGTTCAAACAGCAAGTTTTTTGACAGTGTGAGAATTTTGACAACAAAGTTCCTCAGTGAATAAGAAAGCGGAAGTCATTCAAAGAAGGATTATTGTGATAATTTAACAGCTGTAGCAAGTTCTTAGGAGAAGTACTGTTTCCTATTATTTTTTGCAATTGGTTTTCACTGTATCTGTTATTCCACTCTCATGAATGGCAGGGTAGAGTTTTGCTTTCTTAGACTAAGCTAATTTCTACTTTCTCAATAACATTAAGTATGTGGTGATTTATCAAAGGAGTCTGCCAAAAAAAAAAGTCTTATTTTAACTTTACAGCAATCATGAGATGTCTTATTTTATATGTGAGGAAGCCAAAGCCCATAAATGTTTAATGTTCTCCCCACTTCTTGGCTCATCATGCCAAGGAAGAGCTAGAATTATCATCCTTGATTTCTAGAACTCAGTCCCATAGCTGTCTGTTTTCTTTAGAAAGAGGGGAGGGAGAGAGAGAGAGAGAGAGAGAGAGAGAGAGAGAAGTGATAACCAACACATTTTAATCCTGACTGTGAATTGTGTGAAATGTCAAGATTTACCATTTTTCAGTGTACAGATTATTGTTTTTTGTCTCCTTGCTTTATAGATCCCGTGGATATTGGAAACTCTTCTACTTGGGACAGACATACTAGGAATAAAGATATGTGCAAATCTAGAATTCTTGGTATACAAATGAATCTTTAAAAAAATCTATGCAACATTAAATCCAATTGTTTACTACATCATTCAAAATAAAATAATAAATTTTAAAGAGTCCAGATTAATCATTTTTATTAGTTAAGGTAGGTTATCTGTTATATGAAATAGAACCTAAACATTTGTAATTGCTAAAAGGAGAAGTTATTTCTTGCTTGCAGGAACAATCCACAGTGTTCCAGACCATGAGTGGGAGAAGGAGTATTGAGAAGAGGATAGGGTGCTCTGCCCCATGTAGTCATTCAGAGACCAAGTGTACTAGAGACTATGCCATCTTCAACACTTGTCTTCCAAAATTACCCCGGGTGAGAGACAGAGTAAAAGCCAGAAGAGATGTATAGAGACAGGTAGGAAGAGTAAGAAGTGGAATGACAGTGAAGGGTCAGCAAAGTTGAAAGTGAGACAAAGCAGAACTCCCCACTGTGGGTAAAATTTTCTGTCTCTGGAGATAGTGCTGAAGCAACAGTAACCTCTGTAGGTGAGGTGCACGTGAGAGTCATACCAGGGTACTTTCAGGCAGGCATAGTCCTACCTGAGTTGCTGGATCTTCCCTGGTCATCCCTCACCTTCTTGTTATGTGATTTTCTTTTGTGTTGGCTCCTTGGGCACACATTAAGTCCTCTAAGTGATTTCATTTCTCTGTGCAGAGGTTAATAGAGATGACACTCTGGAAGTCAGACAAGCCCCAGAAGCCTCTAGCTTTGCACTGAGAAGTGGTCCAGGTAAGGAAGATGCAAAATGTCCATCAATACAAGCTTGAAATCAGAGCTCCTGTCTCCTGATTAATTGAAAGTTTTCCTCTAAGATCAGGAACAAGATAAGGGTACTCACTCTCACCACTTCTATTCGACATAGTCCTGGAATTCCTAATTAGAGCAATCAGACAAGAAAAAGAGATAAAAAAAGCACTCAAATTGGAAAGGGAGAAGGAGAATTGTATCTGTTTGCAAATGACATGGTCTTATATACAAAAATCCTCAAGAGTCTACAAAAAAAAAAAACCTATTAGAACTAATAAACAAATTCAGTAAAGTGGCAAGATACAAAATCAACATACAAAAATCAGTTCCGTTTCTATACACTAACAATGAAATATATGAAAAAGAAATAAAGAGAACAATCCCATTCACAATATCATCAAAAACAATAAAATGCTTAGGAATAAATTTAACCAAGGAGGTGAAAGAGCTGTGCACTGAAAACTACAAGACTTTGATGAAAGAAATTGAAGAAGACACAAACAAATGGAAAGATATCCTGTGTTCATGGATTGGGAGAATTAATATTGTTAAAATGTCCATACTACCCAAAGCCATCTATAGGTTCAGTGCAATCCTTATCAAAATTCCAATGACATTTTCCACACAAATAGAAAAAAAAATTATAAAATTTGTATATATAAAAGATCCTGGCTAGACAGAGAAATCCTGAGAAAGAACAAAGCTAGAAGCATCACACTTCCTGGTTTAAAACTATATTATAAAGCTATAGTATTCAAAACAGTGTGGTACTAAACATATAAATAGACACAGAGACTGATGGAACAGAACTGAGAGCCAGAAATAAGCCCTCACATATGCAGTCAACTAATATTTGACAAGAGAGCCAAGAATACTCAGTGGGGAAGAGTTTCTTTAATAAATGGTGTTGAGAACACTGGATAATCCAAAGCAGAAGGATAAAATTGGACCCCTTATCTTACACCACTCACAAAAACTAACTTGAAATGGGTTAAAGACTTAAATGTCAAGACCTGAAACTGTAAAACTTTTAGAAGAAAACATAGGGGGAAAACTCAAAACTCTTTAACATTGGTCTTGGCAATGAGTTTTTGGATATGACACCTAAAACACAAGCAACAAAAACAAAAATAACAAGTAGGCTATCTCATTAAAATGGCCATACTGCCCAAAGCAATCTACAGATTTAATGTGATCCCTATCAAATCACCCAGGACCCTCTTCACAGAACTAGAATAAAAAATCATAAAAGCTATATGGAATTATAAAAGACCCACAATAGTCAAAGTAATACTAAAGAAAAAGAACAAAGCTGGAGGAATAACCATCCCAGACTTCAGACAATACTACAAAGCTACAGTAAACAAAACAGGGTGGTACTGGCACAAAAACAGACACATAGATCAATGGAACAGAATAGAGAGCCTACAAATAAACCCACAGACCTACAGTCAATTAATCTTTGGCAAAGGAGGCAAAAATATACAATGGAGAAAAGACAGTCTTTTCAGCAAGTGGTGCTGGGAAAACTGGACAGACCCATGCAGAACACTTCCTCACACATACACAAAAATAAACTCAAAATGGCTTAAGGACTTAAACATAAGACACTATAAACCTCCTAGAAGAAAACATAGACAAAACATTCTCTGACATACAAATAGCCAACAGGCACATGAAAAGAAGCTCAACATCGCTAGTTATTAGAGAAATGCAAATCAAAGCCACAATGAGGTATCACCTTGCATTGGTCAGAATAGCCATCATCAAAAAGTCTACAAATAAATGCTGGAGAGGGCATGGAGAAAAGTTAACCCTCCTATACGGTTGGTGAAAATGAAAATTAGTGCAGCCACTATGGAAAACATTATGGAGTTTCCTTAAAAATATTAAAAAATAAGCTACCCTTTTATCCAGCAATCCCACTTCTGGGTATATATTCAGAAAAAATAAAAACTCTGATTCAAAAAGATACATGCACCCTAAGGTTTATAACAAAACTATTCACAATAGCCAATTCAAGTGCCCATCAACAGATGATTGGCTTAAGAAGATGTGGCATACATATGTAATGAGATACTACTTAGCCATCAAAGAGAATGAAATATGCCATTTGCAGCAACATGGATGGACCTAGAGAATATTATGCTTATTGAAATAAATCAGACAGAAAAAGACAAACACTAAATGATATCACTTACATGTGGAATCTAAAAAATAATGCAGATGAATCTAAATACAAAACAGAAACAGACTCACAGACATAGAAAACAAACTTATGGTTACCAAAGGGGAGAGGGAAGGGAGGAGGGATAAATTAGGAGTATGGGGTCAACAGATACAAAATAACTACACATAAAACAGGCAAGCAACAAGGATTTACTGTGTAGCACAGGGAATTATACTAATATGTTGTAATAACCTATAATCTAATCTAATCTAATCTAATCTAATCACTTTGCTGGACACCTGAAACTAACACAACATTGTAAATCAACTGTATTTCAATTTTTAAAAAAGATTCAGATTGCTTATCACTTCCATAGACAGCAAAGCAAGAAGAGCGAAGGTGATAGCTCCCCATGTCCCAGTGGGTAGCACCAATGCCAAGGGGGATGTGGATGACATATGATGAAGCAAGAGTGACGGTACACATTCGTGTTACCTCATGCCTCTTCAGAGCTTGGAATATGAGGAAAGCATGTCATGACAGAAGGCAGTGGGTGGGAAATAGCCTTGTAGCAGCTCCTCACAAGCCTCCCAGGCTTTCATGTTCTGGAGGATGATAGGGCGTTCTCAAGACTTAGATTAGATCAGCTGCTGGTAGGTCTTGCCTATGTGGACATGCAAGTTCCCCAGGATGCCATGGCAGAGCCATTCCCCAACAGAACCAAGGACTGTCAGAGGTTTGAGTGCCCAGGTGAGGCATGCTTCTATCAGCTGTACCAAGTATGATTCTGCGAATTGAAAATTGGAAATGCTACGCATCCACTACGGGCTTCCTGATGCCACTGGGGATGAGGCCACAAGCAATGCTATCCAGTATCCAGTAAGGTAACCAGCGACTAAAATATATAAATCACAGTAGCTTTCTATAACAGGCAAAACTCAGTAACAAAATATATTGGGAAAAGGTCACATTCACAATAACAAAAAAAAGTGTTAAATACCTGAGAGTAAAATAAGAAATGATTAAATCCTGTGGAGAGGAGAAAAGAAAAGAAAACTTAAAAGCCTAATAAAAGATTCAAGTAAAGCACATAACACGATCTTTTATAGAAAGACATGGTATTTTCTTTTGTAAATTTCACCCTAAATTATTCAATAAGAGTCTCTGACAATTTTAAATTTCATTTAGAAAAATAAGTTAGCAGGAATGTCAACAAAAAACAAGTTTGAAAAAGAAGTGTGATATGTTATTTGCACAGCAATGGGCCTAATGGTCAGTGGGGTCACAGGCATGATCTCTTGTCGCTGCTGGAGTCTCTGAAGGGGGACCTAGAAAGAGGGTAGGGCTCAAACTGAGTACTGTTTGTGCTTATTTCCTGGATGGCAAAAATGTCTGTGAAATCATTCTCAGATCTGGCCTCTAGATGAAGTCCCAGCCTGATGAATTTCTCCTTGTCCTGAAAAAGCAAAGACAAAAACAATAATAGCTATTGCCAGTGGGCTTAGGTTGCCAACGAGCTTGACTCCCAATGTTCCAGATAACCTGGAGTTTCATTTTAGACTACCCCAAATGCTAAGCGAAAATTAATCCAGTTGAGAGTAGCTTATGTTCTTTGATTGCTGGATCATTTTTCTTCATCTTGAATACAGAGGAGCAAAAATAGTACTATACTGCATTTTAATTCTTCATGAGAAATTTATTAATTTTTTAAAATCTAGTTATTTGATTTTTGAACACAGAACATATTCCTTGTAGTACTCTGATTGTGCAGAAATGTCTAAGGCAAATTCATGGTGTTTTCTTTTATCCTTCATTCCCATCCCTTAAGGTAGTCCTTGTTAACTTTATTATACACCACAAAGAAATTCAAATGTAAAGAAATTCAAGATTTTGAAATATGAGAAATGTGATTTGGTATCTTTCTTTAGAGATGAGACACACAAGTTGCCTTTAAAATGTGCTTCTAGCAGATGAGAGAACTGGCCCCACTTCTCCACGAGCACCGAGGCCATAAACATTCTGCTTGTAAGAACTCTACCATGCTCTGAATCCGGAGTGCAGTTCTAGAACCACTGGAAATAGGAAGATGCCCAGGTGTGTGTGTGGGTCCTGTCCACACATTCCTGAGGGCCTGGATGTCAGAGGGCAGGAGCACGAACTGCACAGGAACATACTCTGTATCTCAACACCCAGTCTCCCCAGAATGGTCCCTGAGTCTGGGCTGCGTGGGGTCAGGAGCCCAGGCCCAGGGCAGGGACTTTTGAGGTACCCACAGAACTGTCCAGATCCAGTGGAAAAAAAAAAGAAGAAAGAAAGAACATCACTTCCATTTCCTGTGGAAGAGACTAGGTCTGCAGTTCACTGTTCTCTGTGGGCAAACCGTCTATCTAGAAGGAGTAAACTCTGAGGTCCTCGGGCAACGTTTTCAGTGATACCTCTGGCCTCCTGTTATTATCTGCCCCACCATAGCCCAGAGGGCTTTTAAAATACTGCCAGAATTTTTACTTTGTGGACTTGCCAGATGATGAGGGAAACTGCAACTTTTACTTGCTTACAAGAAGGTGAAAGACAAAGCAACTTAATCGAGAGAAAATAGAAGCAGGGAGAACCACTTACACTGGAATACTGTCTGTGGTTCTGGAAGACGAGACACATGTCCTGCACAAATCCCTCCACCTGGCAGTAGGTATATCTTCCTCAACTTTTTCTTGAGTTTGTTTAACCACATGGGCTTCTTCGGCCCGAGATGCCTCTCTACTCTGTTGACAAAGTGCCAAAGGGCAGGCTATTAGAGGGTTCCAAGTCTACCTTCTGTAGACTCCCACTGTTATGGACTGAGCACTTATGTTCCTCAAATTCATATGGTGAAATCGTCACCCCTACTGTGATGGTATCAGGAAGTGGGACCTTTTGGAGATAATTAGGTCATGAGGGTGGAGCCCTCATGGATGAGATTAGTGCCCTTGTAAGAGACTTCAGAGAACTCCCTCCCTCCCTTGTGAGGATAAAAAGAAAAGACAGCTCTCTGCAACCTGGAAGAGAGCCCTCACTAGGACCTGATCCTGCTAGCACCCTGATCTTGGACTTCCAGCCCCTAGAACTGTGAGCAATAAATTCCTGTTGTTTAAGCCACCCAGACTATGGCAATTTGTTATAGCAGCTGAGCTTTGAAGGGCTGACTGAGCTGACTAAGACATTCACCAACAAGACAAAGATAATGGCAACTTGTACCCTCTGGACTCATAACACAAATTTGACAGATGCCAGTTTTGGGTTTTGTTGCTCTTACTTATATAATGTGGTTCTGAGGCAAAAAAGGGGGTTTTTTTGGAGAGCAATATAACTTCAAGAGGAGAAACTCACATTTCTGCAAAAGAGAGGAAATTTTAAGTGAAAAGCAGCTTGGAGAGAATGAGCCTTATGTATGCTCAGATAGATGCACAACTCCCAAACTTGCAGACTGTGAAACAGACACCAAGTTTCTGTGGCGTAGAAATGTTGGTGTCAGGTCATGTGATCAGAGCACAGCAAGGGACAGCAGTTTGCCTTGGGCACCTTTCCTCCTGCCCCCTGCAAGGTGGTGCTGCTTCTCTTGTGTAAACAGAAAGGAGGAGGCTTCAGGTTTGCATTTCAACTCACCAGCTGCTCCTCAGGCAGCATCTTCCTCTTCAGGACCTCAGATTCCTGATGACATGGTTGGCTTTCTGAGTACCTTTCCTGAAGAGCCTTTATCTTGCAGAAGTTGCAACTCCATGGGTTCCTGAGAGGTTGGACATAAGGTCAGCAAAGGGAGGTTCTCTGTGAATCAACCTTTGTGTCTATAGCCACTGGAGTGCTCTGCTCAGATTGTAGTTTCCAGCTGTACCCAACTTCTCTCTGACATCCCTCAGCACTAGAGCCTCATTTGGGCTCAAATGCCAAAGACAACCCTCCCATCAATAGCAGTAGAAGGCTGACAGTCTAAGTGAGGTGTCACAGTGGGTAAAGACTCTCATTCACCTCAAAACTTAGGGTTCCCATCTGAGCCACTGTGATTTTGGTAATGACTCCTGCCTGCTAGAATCGCGGGTTCCAACCTTGGAAATTAGTACCTTAAGCACTGGAGTCTTGGTCCTCAAAGAGTCATCAGATCACATTAAAAATCAGAAAACCAGCTCTTTCTCTCAACTTAGCTGAATAAGCACAGGGCATAAGCCACAGGCATCCTTTCCTCTGGCCCTGCCAACTCTACATCTAGAATCTGTGCTGCAGAAACTTCTTGAAAAGGAAATCTACCAACAGAGTGCCAGATATCTTCCATTTGCTCCTAGATTCATTCTCTCCTCTCCTCCCCCAGGCTCTGTACTGCGGACCTCTCGACAATTAGATGGATACAATGATCCACCCTAGAGATATCATTTAGCCTCTCTCCTTGGCCACCCCAGTGGTTGCTCAGGGGGCCCATTACAAAGTGCCCATGGTGCAGGGCTGGAGACTACACATAAGCTCAACGACTTGTCTTCTGCCTCTGCAGACTGTCTAACTGCAGAAATTTATGCTGAATCCTTGAGTGTGCACATTCTCTGGTTGCTACATGGGAGCAGGTGAATTATACTAGATTCCTCCCATTATGGAGAGCCATGCTGTATTCTATAGGGACAGACATAATCCTGGTAGAGATCATCCTTCCTGGCTAGAGCGAGTCTGCTCACACCACCACTTATAGAGTGCCTTGTCAATCTATGTGTTATCTCACATATCATCACCTCTGACCAAAGATATATCTTACAGCCAAGAAAATGCAGCAGTGGACTAATACCTACAGAATTCAAGGGTCTTATGTACCCCGTGATTCAGGGTCAACTAACTTGATAGACTGCTGTGATTGCCTTCTGAAAGCTCATCACAGCCCCAGCTTTGTCAGCTTTGGTGTGTTCCCATAGCAGGTGGTGTCTGCTTTAAACCAGCAGCTAATGTAGGGAGTCATCACCTCATCAAAGTGCATGGGTCTGGGAACCAAGTGAGGGAGGTGGGGGGGGTCACTCCTTTGTTTATTATACCTAAAAACAACTTGAAGACTTTTCTCCTCATTAATCTACTGCTGCTAGCTTTGTTAAACAGCTCTGTCCCTATTTCTGGATCCCCATACTTAAGGACTCTGCTTCTCAATCAAGACACATGCAACCAGAGACAATCTTGCAAGCTGAGTGTGCATGGTGGGAGAAGCTGTACCACAAGAAGGAAGGGCAAGAGGGGGCCAGGTCTCACTAACGTGCCAGCATCTTTAGGTTGGATGTGGCATTTCTCATGAAAGATCCTTGAGCAAGTATCACAGGAGAACAGCGCTCCCTTTCCATGGCACACCTCACACTCATTTAAGTTTTCTCACTAGAAAAAGAGATAATACAGACATCACTGGGATCAGTGAGACCCTGGAAGGTTGAAACACTGGGACTCTAGAACACATGGCTTTTGCTTGTACCAAGGTGACACTTGTAAATTTATCTCCTCAAACTATTAAGGAACAACACTGAATGGAGATTTCATTTATTTTTATTTTTAAAAGTTAAAAATTAATTTATTTCTTATTGATGAATAGTCAATTACAATGTGTCAATCCGGTGTACAGCATAATGTCCCAGTAATACATATACATACATATATTCATTTTCATACTCTTTTCATTAAAATTTATTACAAGATATTGAATATAGTCCCCTGTCCTATACAGAAGAAATTTGTTTTTTACCTATTTTTATACATAGTGGATAATATTTGCAAATCTCAAACTCCCAAATTTATCCCTTTCCACCCTCTTTCCCCTCGGTAACCATAAGATTGTTTACTATGTCTGAGAATCTGTTTCTGTTTTGTAGATGAGTTCATTCATGTCTTCTTTTTTCCTTTTTTAGATTCCATGTATGAATGATATCATATAGTATATTTCTTTCTCTTTTTGGCTTAACTCATGTAGAAAATGACATTCTCCAGATCTATCCATGTTGTAGCAAATAACATTCTTTAACTCTTTTTTGGCTGAGTAGTATTCCATTGTATAAATATACCACATCTTCTTTATCCAGTCATCTGCTGATGAACATTTAGGCTGTTTCCATGTCTTGGCTATCATATATAGTGTTGCTATGAACATTCAGGTGCATGTATCTTTTCGAATTAGAGTTCCCTGTGGATATATGCCCAAGAATGCGACTGCTGGATCATACAGAAACTTTATTTTTAGTTTTTTGAGGAATCTCCATACTGTTTTCCATAATGGCTACACCAAACTGTATTCCTACCAACAGAGTAGGAGGGTTCCCATTTCTCCATAGCCTCTCCAGAATTTATCATTTGTGGAAGGGATAGCCTGGGATTTCAAAATTTGTAGATACTGACAGGCATATTCAGAATAGATAGACAAGATTGTACTCTATAGCACAGGGAAATATATACAAGATCTTGTGGTAGCTCACAGCGAAAAAAAATGTGACAATGAATATATGTATATTCATGTGTAACTGAAAAATTGTGCTGTACACTGGAATTTGACACAACATTGTAAAATGACTGTAACTCAATAAAAAATTGTTAAAAAAATGATAGCCATTCTGACTGGTGTGAGGTGATACCTCATTGTATTTTTGATTTGCATTTCTCTGATAATCGAGCATTTTTTCAAATGCCTATTGGCCATTTGTATGTCTTCATTGGAGAATTGCTTGTTCAGGTCTTCTGCCCATTTTTGGATTGGTTTTTTGTTGTTGTTGTTGTTATCAAGTTGTATGAGCTGTTTATATATTCTAGAAATTAAACCTTTGCCAGTTGTATCATTTGCAAATATTTTCTCCCATTCCATAGATTGTCATTTTGTTTTGCTTATGGTTTCCTTTGCTGTGAGAGTGGGCATCCTTGTTTTGTTCCAGATTTTAGTGGGAAAGCTTTCAGCTTTTCACCATTGAGTATTATGCTGGCTGTGGGTTTGTCATAAATAGTTTTTACTGTATTGAGATATGTTCCCTCTGTACCCACTTTGGTAAGAGTTTTTATCATAAGTGAGTGGAGATTTCAGAAGACATTCTGGTCTGCAGTGATGTTCAGGAGGAAGTGGCTGTGTGTTACACCTTTAAAGTTTTCTTTATGAAGCCAGAGATTCTGACACAGGAAGGCTAACAACAACAACAAAAAAGGAATAAATTAAAGATAGTCTGAGAAATTTATTATTCTGTAGGCAAAACCTGGTTCAGGAATACAATGTCTTATCTAGTTGTCTACATTGCATCATCTATATTGACTCATTGAAGAGTGATTACTGAGAATTTAATATGAGAGACTAAACTTCTGAGATACCATTGCATCCCATTTTCTTGTCCATAAGTTCTCTGTGAGTTGAAGGATCTGAGGAGGAGTTCCTGGACAATGGATTCCATGCCTGGAGTGCCCCTGGGCCTGTGACAGAGCCTCTGGGTTGGAAAGACCATGGGCACAGGTGACCAGATGGATGCCAGGGAGGACAGAGCTCTTTGGCTCTGGGAGCCTGAGATAGCCTGCCCCCATGATGTAGCTTAGCACATAAGATGTGGAGGTGCCATCTCTCAAAGTCCAGAGAGAATGGGAGCAGCAGCCACTGGAGTTGAAGGCCAAGGCCCTAACTTCATTTTCTGAGCCTGTGGAAGACCTGGTTCTTTGTCTTATATAAGGAAGATGACAGGATTCACAAAATTGACTGATGCTGGATTTTTCACCAATCTCATTATGTGGGACCTTTAGCCAGATTTAATTTCATTTAGTGAACTTAAAAATTTGACAGTGTTTTTGTGTCTAATTATTGTCGAATAACAAACTCAAATTAGAACAATAGAATTTATTGACCAAAATAAGAATTGGTCAAGGAATGAGCCCACTGGTGGGCAAAGAAAATCACATTTTCCCTCTTCTTTTGTGATAATCTCTGTGGCAGTAACATGTGAATCCCTGTATACTACAATTTCTTTGTATGAGGGTGATGTGCCTATGCTGGAAAAATGCCCAGAGGACAGGCACCCGGCTTCTCTCCTGGGCTACCTGAGCAGAAAGAGAACCGTATGGGGGGGAACATTTCGTCCAATGGGTAGCAGCTCTGCATTTAGAAGAATATATTCTTTCTACACAATAGGATGGAAGAAGGAATTCACATCCTTGTGTGACAATCTAGGCACAAAATGATGCATAGACTTAGGGGCTGGCCCATCCAGTGATGGGTAGCTGGGACTCTGGTGGGTGGTGAGGAAGTGGGGAGGTGGCAGGGAGTGCCACTCTACCTCTTCTTTCTAGAAACACACTTAAAGCTTTATTTGATGACATTCCACTCTGTTGGATTTTTTTTCTAACACCCTGCCTCTTTCTTTTCAGGTTCCTCACTTGGAATGTTGGAATTTTGGAGGGCTCTGTCTTATGTCCCCTTCTATGTCCCTTTACTCTCCTAGATGACCACAACTACTCCCATCACCACACTTACCACACTTTGTCCCTAGGCTTTAAGACCTGTGTCTCTAGTCTTCTTTCAAGTCTCCAAGCACCCAAATTGTACTTTCCATCATCTTCAATTAGATGTCTTTCATCATGAATAAAGTTCATCTTGCCTCAAACCACATTCCTCGTCTTCCTGTCTTGAATTGGCTCCTCTTTTAGTGCCCCACCAACTCACTAAGCACCCCACCATTCCACCCGGGAACCTGAAAGTGAACATGGAGTCCTCCCTTTTCCGTCCCAGATATCCAACTATTACCAGTCCTGCTGATTCCAATTTTTAAATATCTAATCTCATTCTCAGTGATTCTGTGAGATCCACTGCTACAAGAATGCAGGGCCTTTAATTATAAAACTATATTATTAGCCAAAGAAAAACGGTCTGCTCTTTGGGTTCCAAATCATAACAGTCAGAATATCATTTCTGAGCCCAGTGAGCTGAGGTGAATTGCAACATACCTCAATTTGTAAATTCTTTTCATGTATAAATTCAATATAAAAAGAAGAGACACAAAAGCTGCACATAGGAGGAAATTCTAGGCTGCAAGATGTATCTTGTCCATGTGCTCCCTTTCAATAGGAAAACCTAAGGAATGGCCTGCCAGGGACATCCTTGGGGACACCCCCGAGTGGGCTTGAGTTGCCCTGGTATGGGGCCATGTAACTGTTTTTCTGTTTTGTCACAACAGATGAGACTCATGGATGCTGACCACTATTTTTAGGTTACTAGGTCAGAGTTCCTGAA